TTTTCAGAAATTTTTAGGATGATACGCATGATCTATAAAAAGTTAGGGGCGTTCGGATACTTATGACCGCTACTGTAACAACACAAATCTCTCTATGCCCGCCCAACCTCGAATGGTTGCAACCGTATTACTATCATTATCAGTAACAACACACAAAACTTTATTTTGCAGGTTAAGATCTTGAATTTTCAAATCACAGACTGTATAAGAATAAAGCATCAGCTCCAAGCAATAATTTGAACTGTTCACTCAGCCAATGTGTTGTAATGCCTATATAATCAGTTCCATTCCTTGCTGTCCGAAGATCAATAGTTAAAGAAACCATCTTATTATTCTCCGCCAAAAGCTCACATATTTGATTACTTGCAAATAATATCTCTTTTTTAATGCTTTATAAGAAGGCCGGTGAAAAGCAAAATCCATTTTAAATATAAACTGACAAAATTCTTCTCCATTAACTATATCAAGTGGTTGGTTATCGATAATAAGCCACTCTATAACTGCCCAGCGAGTGTTGATTTTTTTGATCCAGTAACGTGTTAAAACATATCAGTAATAAAGATATAAATTTAATTGAGCTTACTCTTGTGTCTTTTTGAAATTCTATTAAATCGTGTTCATCCACGAAATACAAGTTCATATGTAGACATCCTGGTAAGTACTTGAATGTCTTTCCACAAATAGATTCTTCGTCCTTCGAATCGACATCGAATTTTTTTGAAGTATTTTCAGCATTTGGAGGATTTTCCATTTTTTGCACCTTTTATGAGTACCTTGCCTTCGTTCAGTTGCTTGTGAGGTTGGTCCACTTTCTGTTGGTGAATTGTCTTCAAATCGTACTCACTGTTTGACATTGTGCTTATTGGCAATTAATGTTAACACTTCTCAAAAAATCTTTCATGCTCTATCTAGACTCATGTTCATTCCATAATAATAATAATACACTAGACTAACACGTTCCTCATGTTTATTACATAACAAAAATACATGTATATAAAAAATAAAAAAACTATCGTTATCGTTATGATCAAATTAAGTTAAATTCTCGTCATACAAAAAATAAAGCTAAAATATCATTCTTTAATATCGATATTAACCGATAACCAACCGGTTGATCCAGTTCAACCGATTAAACATTTTACCCAACTGGTTCTTCGCTTTTGATCGGTTAACCGGTTAAACCTTAATCGGTTCCAATACTTTAAATTGTAAAGAATTTCTAAACAAATATTTATTAAATTAGTTAGTTTTTTAATTAATTTTCAGCACATGTTACATCACATGCATTATTTTTGATTGGTCGAATTTCTTCACGTAAAAGTGCTTGATTACTTTTTCAGACCTAAATTGTTTCATAAGGGCCGTGACATATATACACACCCCTACAGTATATTACCGGAAATTTTAAAAATGAATCTGTCATTTTGGAACCCGATATCTCAACATCCAG